AAACAAACATAAATGAATTAAATGATAAAGGCAGCTATTGGCAAACGCTCAGCGCTAAATGAAAAGAAACCCGCAACAGACGAATGGAAGCAGTCAGCAAAAGTGACTTGAAAATTTAATACATAGAGCAAAAGAAAAAAAATTGAAGTGGTCATAAGACTCGTGGCTTGTTTATTGTTTTTTTGATTTCTGATTATTTTGCTTGCAAATCAAATTTTGTAATAGAACCCAAAAACTTGTTTACAATACATATTTAAAAATTAATTTTTCATGCTAACTTTATGCGCCAACAAGAACAACATGACTTTAGCAATTTGTGCCACACGATCCATTAAGCTTTTGTGACCGACAAGTTATTTATTGCATTAATGTAATATTTAATGCCTTAATACTATATAAACGCCTTGCAGCACATGCCGGGCAGCTGAATGCATAAATACCACGTTTAGCATCACGTCATTTGCCTCGTTTCTCATTGAGTTGCATGCAAATTCTAAATACTCGCAGTGTCCGACGTTGCGATTTATCTGTGTATTCACTTTGGCGCCATTTCGGACTAGAGTTGTGCTAAGTAGCTAGTATGCAACGAGTCACGCTGCCAACAACTAACTACTGGTGGAAGGTTAACTAGCCGTGAATGAGAACAGATTGCAAAGTGATATGAAAATCACTTCAAGAAATTGTTTATCAATTAAATGTTAACAGAAGCTGACGATTTAATTTGTAAAACAAGCGTCAAAAATTGGTCGATGTACACTTGTTTCCCAGTGTTTTTAAGCTTTTGAGCTTTTAAGTACATACACTGAGGGAAAAAAATATTAAAATCAAATAGAAACGTAATTGATCTTACATCTCTGCATGCTTGGGGTGCGTATGTACACTTACATATACATACACAGATGTGAACAGTCAAATACGTGCGTAATACATTTTGTATGAAAATATTATTTTTAAATACGAACATTTGTAAACGATAATCAAATATAAAGTATTAATTTTTACTGTGCATTATTTCCCTCAGTGCATAAGATTCTTAAATGCCTTATGAAATTTCTTGAAATATAACTTCTTTTTATTTTGCTACTCTTGCAAATACACTTTCTGAACGCGTTGTTGTGTACTTCAGGATCAACTAAACAGTTGAGTTTTAGATGATCGTATCTAATATTTTTCTGATCATTTGAGACAACATGTTATGACAGTTTAATTTGACAGCTAATGTATCAAGCCGTTCAGAATACGCATAAGGATCACTGATTTTTTTTACCAACGGTTGCACTCAACTGCTGCGCCTTCTGAACCCATTCATTGTAAGACTTATTTTGCCCCGCAGAACTGTGCTAATGTTTGTGGGGTGTGTTCAAACTCCAATAATTGCTGCAGAGCTACAGTTTATGGTATAGCATAAAATTCTATGCAAACATTCCAGGAACCCAACATTTTGGGGATTACCAGTTCTCTAAAAGCAAGACAAGATTAGATTTGGTTAAACTCGCTGGCGTCAAGCCACACTTAGACCGGTGAGTACTTAACGTTACCAGATGGAGTCCGATTCTTATGAGTTGAAGTAGACATTAGGAATATCACGAGCTTTTTACAAATTTTAGTAATAGTAGTAACCAGTAGAGATGCCCCCTAACTTTTCTAGTTGAAAAATCCCAAGCATTTCATCGAGTATTTTACAATGCAGGGTCTAAAGTATACAGTATAAAGTACATAGTCAAGAGATTCTGAACAGAAAGTCTGGGAGTTTCCTCTCTTTTCCCTTTCCTCCTATTATGAATAAAAATGCACCTATGTAAATGTTAGACCCCTTTTGACAATCGCATCGATTTCTCTATAGCAAGCATTTCCGTATGAAAAATATTGCTCCGGGGGGTCGCCTGATGTTCATTATTTTCCTTATTACGTCGGGTATTCTCGTGCTGCGACCTAAAAAGATCTATCTTAGGCTATTTAAAAAAGTAAGCACATTGGCGGGTGCCATATTCCATATTTTAGATGGAGAAGATATTCGTTTCCCAAGGTGTATCAGTCTGCGATTCATCATACGTAGGCTGTCACATAGCCTATGCTCTGGAGTTTCATCCACCAGTCCACAAAACCTGCAGAAAGCCCCACTTCATTCAAATGGTACCTTAAGTCGCATTCCCCTGTCAGGTAGCCAGTAAGATTTCTAATTAAGACCCTACTGGTTAAGTTCCTAGGTGGTTCAAAAGAATTTCACAATAGTCCACAAGCCTTGATGCCGTTCTAAATGAGTTTCTGGCCTTTAATGTTGCCTGGCTATCCAAAATAATATTTATCGCGAACGCAGGCTTCGACTGGGAAGGCTTCCGCCTGGAATATAGTTGGGTATGTGCCCATTGGCAGACTTTTCTGGAATCTTGGTTCAAGTACGCCTGTCACAATGTTCTCGTCGTCCATTTTCTATCCGCTTCACAGCAGTCCATTTGAGGAATTCTGACCTTATAGGGTTTGTAGAAGGATAATTCTGGTAGCATGATGTCCGCGAGCTTGATAGCAGGATTATCCAGCAATGACTTAAGAACTTCCGAGTGACCCCTTTCATGCTCATTGTTTTTGGCAGAGGTACGGTGCTCCAGCTGCCCTGCTTCTCAATCAGAAGAGTCTGTGGCGGAGTTCTTGTAATGACACCAAGTGCGTCCGTTGGACAGGAGCGCATAGCTCCTCTGACCAGGCATAAAATGAACCTTTGATATTTAATTCATGGCAGAAAATTGAGCATTCTATTATTAGCCATTTTATAATCATCTATGAAATTTTGCCAACGTTTTTCGACTAGATTTCATTTGTCCTTCTTCTCCAACCAAAGCACGGAGTATTGTAGTCAGGTATCGCCAATATGTATATCTGCAGATCTACAAAGCTCTCCCCAAAAAATCACCGCAATTAAGTTAATGGGCGGTAAAAGGAGGATCATTTCGAACCAGCGACATTTTTATTTTAAAAATTTTCTTTCTGATGCATTCCTAAGGCGTCTAGATACATTTCTGCTTAAAAAAAAATTTAAAAAAGTCGCTGACGTCTTTTTGGCGGTTAGCGCTCGATATTATTTTAAGTTGTCTATGTCAACTCTTAAAATAAAACAAAAATTATTTATTTTGTTGAATTTACTTTCATTTAATTATTTTGAAAATAATCATACAGCATTATTTATGTAAGTATAATAAATCATTTTATATCAGTTTAACGACTTATCAATTACAAATACAGTTTAATTACAAATTACATACATACATATATACAATGGCATAAGCCTCGTTGTTTATCGTTTTATACAATACATATGTACATTTACATATTGTTAAATTACTTACAGTCTATAAAGCAAAATAGTTTGGTCGAAATACATTCATTTAGTTTAGATAGTAATTTATGAACATATATTTAGTAGGATTTACATATATACATACATACATACTTTGCTTAATTTATTAGTCGTATAAATTATTATTATTAATCACAAGCCATTGGTGTGTGTGTGTGTGTGTGCGCGATTTGAAAATGCCAACATTTAGAATGTTTGTGTTCGCTAAATATACTTACATATATGTATATGCTTTTTATTTATGTAGTGTATGTAGATATACATACATACACAAACATGTACATACATGCATACACATGTATGCGTATTGCTCATAAAGAGATTTGGCAAATATTTTACGAATATGTAGTATCTATAACAATAAAAAAATACTTAGTATAGTGTAAAATATAGACGTACACTTAAAAAAAATATTGAAATACGTAGTTTGGACCCTTTGAATTGAACAAAGAGATATGTTGAAAGTGTAGGATTAAATAATTAAAAAAAAAGTAAAAAATGTAAACTAGAATTTATGCGATTTTTGTGATGTAGTTTTTATATTTGTGCTGTATAATACACATTTACTGGCGCTTTGTATAAAGTCTCACTCTAAGCGAGACATTTTTAATTTTTTTTCATACTAAAAAAACTTTCTAGGCTTATATGGGTTAATTTCAAAACTGCAGTTATTGAAAAAAATGGGTTGGACAGAAACCGGGGTTTCCCAGTGCCCGTCCATACATAATCATACATATGCTCATATATAGTACAGTGATGCCTCAATAAAATGAACTTAGATACAACGAAAAAACTTGATAAAATTACACTAACGGTTGGCTTGGATTCTTCAGCGCAAGGAAGTTTCGACTCCACTTAGCAAATTTTGGATATGTTTCTAAAGGTTGTAAAGGCTCGTGCGTTAAGTGAACATTGTACAACTGGTTTTAGTCACTATGAAAGCGTGAACCGCACATTGGGAAAAAGACCGAGACTAAGTTATGACGTTTTTTCCGAAATTTGGTATTTACTCTTCTATCGAGGCTTTCAGAATATATAAAAAAGACAAACCTATAGATTTAATGAAACATTAGTCAAACACCTTATCCAGGTTTTACTGTAGAAAACATATGAAGTCCCGGCACGCCCACTTATGAAAGGTGAAATTTACCTTATGGCGACAAATGAAAGTTAAAACTTGATTCCTATGATTAAGTACTTTTTTTTTAGAAACATTTACATAGTTTCAGGAAAATATTTAATAATTGAAGGCTAATACATAATAATAATGTTTTGAAAAATTTTTCCCGAACATGTTTTTTAAGTATTTATGTATATATATATATTCAGTGCTTATAATAACTATACGACAACCACATAATGGAAAGTTTTTGTTTTATCAAAATATAGTTCATTCTATAAAACACACCAAATAAATCTAAGTCCCAGACTGTACAAAAATTAAAAACCAAAAATATCAACAAAGTTTCATCAAAATTTCGCCATATTCATTCATTTACTTATAAATTAAAAACCAAAAATATCAACGAAATTTCTTCACCATATTCATTCAGACTGAAAAAATCCTAAAAATTAACGGTATTTTGAAGCTATTTAAAACTTTATTTTTATATGCTAGACTGGACTATAAAACTGTACACCCATTTTGAATAAAAAGTGTTAAAATTTGTTGATTTTTCTAATTTATTTTACAAAGTTTGAAACATAGATTTATGTGATTTTTCTTATAAGGGCTGTCTGCAATTCTCAAGAAAATTAACAAGAATTTTTTTTTCATAATTTCTGTTGCTTGAAAAGTTAGTGTGATGTTGCTTTAGATTTGATTGAAGAAATTTCGGTAGCAGAAACTTTGCTTGCCATTTCTTGTGCGTAATTTTATATGAATTTTTCGTTTGTCATGCGAGCTGCAGACAGATTTATAGAATGAACTATATTTTAATTAAGAAATAAGTATAATTAAAAAGTAAAAAAATAAATACTCAAAACTTTTCAACATTCCAGTGTCGTACACTTATAATAAGCACCTTACCAATATCCGTTCAAATCATATTAAGGAGAGTCAAGTAACCGGAATATATGCCAACAAATTTTGTGATAGTTTATTGTGACTTTAAAAATCGCTGTTGCCACATTTCAGCGATAAAACCACGTTTGACAAATACATAGGAAAGCGCAGAGATACAATGTGAAGTCATTTTATTATATAAAATTATTACATATATTACTTTAGGATTCTGATAACTTTCAGCCGCGAAAAATATGTTTTTTTTTGTTTGAATCATAAATCTATTTCAAAATTGGTTTTGAAAACATGAACTTTTCTATTTTGCATTGGATTAGATTCTCTCAGCCCCATACACACGCCAATGCCAAAACTCATCGCATGAGTATTGCTTTAATTACTGCGCCTAAAACTATGTCGCAACTGTATTTCAAGCGCTCTCAATAACAATTGTCAAATAGGGAGATTCTCGAAATTTTGCAAAGTTTAGCAATCCGCGCACCGTTCGAGGGCTTTGCAAGAATTCGAGAATTTCTCTAATTTTTATATTCGTCGCCTAAGTTTAGGCGCAATAGTCAAAACATTAGTCATGCGATGAGTCATTGGCGTGGGAATAGCGCCGTTAATCTATAAAGTCGTACACACACATATACCCATACATTCATTTAGCTTTTCTTAAACTAGTAATCTTAATACTATGTGACTACAGAAAATTGGTTCATTTAATAAAAACATTCAACAAAAAGCATACGGCATTTTCACAACTAATTTAAACAGCTTTGTCTGACTGCAAGGAGTTAACACAAATCAAGAAAGTATGCTAAGGAAACACCTTTGTAAATCGACACTAAACACAAAATGTTTGCACTCTTTGATATACTACAGTTCACTTAAGCATACTTTTCGGATGCCAACTCGTATGCATACATAGATGATAGTTATACATTTTCTTATCATTTCATTCCCATCCAACTCATTCACCCCCCCTTTCCGCATTCCGCATTCCTCATGCATCGGCATACAATATAACATCATCGATCTTCACAGTCTCATTACTACCACCCGAATGATCTGAACCCGTATCGGGTGGCAATGCAACAGCCCCGCGCATATCAAATTCACTCTCATCCACTTCGGGTGTCGCTAGGCGTGCAAAAGTGGACGCAGGTGTAGGCATTGGTCGCTTGTGACTAACATCGGGCGCTGTGTAGACTGGCGGTGCGACCAAATGTTTATTAAGTGTACGCTGCGCAGCATTAGGCAGGTGAAAATTTGGCATATTTTGTAGTTCATGCGCCATGCGTTTGACATTTGATGGCGGCAGTGCTGGTCTATTATCGCCAACAATGCTGGACGCGAATGTCGGACTTGCTTTATGTGCAAGAAGGTAAAATGGATGTGGGCTGTTGTTGTTGTTATTATTATTATTTTTATTTTTTTTATTAGTGGGCGGAAGATGTGCGCGTGGCGCTGCGGTAGGCATAATCATGGACGGTTTTGTTGGTGGTGGATGTGGTGGCGCATAAGGTGGCAAGCGTTGAGCGTAGTCGGCTGTGTGGTTGGAGAGAAGAGAAAATGGTTACATTTTTGGTTTTTTAAATAAAGTAAAGTCTTAAGTATTTTTGGTTGATTTGGTTAAGTGTGGTGAAAATGTGGTTGCAGTGTGTGTTATCTCTACAGTCACCGATGAGAGGGCAAAGGGGCAAAGAAGCCTATAGAGTTTGTAGTAAGCTACCGACACCTTTTTAATAACTACATAAATCAAATAGTGCAGCCGATGTTTTAATTCTACTGCTTAATAGCTACAACTAGATACATATTTACTTGATGCATAGAAAAATAGTGTTTTTTTTTTAATACCTGAAGTGCATGTTTTCTCTATGTTTCTTTGTTGTGACTTGTGAGTGCTGCCAATTTTACTCGCGCGGAACCGGAGCGACTACTTTACATGATCGGAGTTTGTAGTGAAAGTGCATTAAATAGTGTGAATTCAGTAAACTTCTTTTTGTTTCTGAGGGTTTAAAAAAATTTTTAGGTACAAAAAACATTTTTTGGATTTGGCCGTAACTGAATTCACAGCTTTTTATTTAAGGGTTTTGATTTAAGCCAATTCAAGTTTTTGTGTATTTAAATTTTTATTACTTATTATTTTAATTTACTGCAATAAAAATTAATTAAAGGGATAAGCTTAAATAAACTTATACTAAACGTAGTATGTATATAAATAACGCCACTATTCATATTATTTACAAATAAGAGCACATTTAAACTAAAATATAGTATTACAACGAAAGCACTAAAAAAATAAATTAATTTGGAGTAAAATTATGCATAACAAATGATTTTCGTGATAATTAAATATTTATGATTAGAATATATTTAACTAACAACACGTTGTAACTTAAAAAAATTTTAGTTTCCATATATATAAAGTGGAAACGCTTACTTCTTAACTAACCAAATTTTTTTAATTATTATTATTATCTTGGAGTGGATGGAATCCGGCTAGTGCTATTACAGCTTGTGGGAGATATTCGGCCCTATCGCGAATTTCACGTGAACAAATATTTCCAAAATTTATAAAGCAAAACGAAAACAATTTTTCCCAGTCTGTTTTTCTGGGAACGGTTTATTCACATGAGCCTAGTAGTAAACGATCTCCTCCAACTACTCTCAGACAGTGGAATACACAGCCAATGCTATGCTGGTGAAATTCATAGTAGCTGAAAGAAATTTCGAGATCTCCCTCTGCGAAATAATTCAAAGAGACCTACATTTAACAAAAGGATATGAAAGGCACTCCCACAGCTTCAACGTCTGGTATGTGTTTGTATTACGGGATCAATGTGCGTAGAGCACACGGCAAAGCGAACTCTACTTAAATTCGCTAGAGAGAATTTTGGTAGAGAAAATGCCATAGCACGCACTGAGGAATGTGGTGAAACCAAACTCTCAGCTCCTGCTAGCCGTACACCCCAAAGATGTTATAGCATTTGAGTAGAGGTTCAGTATTGAATTTTGCAGCAAAGTAGCATGTATTGCCGGAATTTTGTTAAGACGTCTTTAGACGGTTTGAAAACTCTCGGAAGCATAAGAGCAGGAGTCGAGGATTCTAGAGCTGAGATATCGATGCCAATTAGAGGGCGAATATTTCTACGGGCAGAGGTTTACGCTATCAGGCTGTGTGTCGTTTCCAGGAAGTGCCAAAGAAACCTATGCTTTATGTGGCCACCCCTACAACTCTTCTAAACTTTTTGGGGGTTCTTTGGGTTAGCCGAACTGTTGTGAAGAGCAGCAGACATCTCGTACTAATGTCTATCTATCTACCTGTCTACATTACAATTTTTTGATAAATGTTATTATTTTAAAAATTTTTATTCGATTTTTTGGCGAAGATATTTAACTTTAAAAACTCTTTTGGCCGCACATCTTTTTGAAAATATAAATCACAAAATTGTGTGCTATACGTATACATATAAGACAATCGTTTTTGTTTTTAATTAGCATTTGCATCTTAAGTCCCACGCCTTCGCAGTTTGTTACTGTGAAATTTTATCGCTTTATTTATGCTTAAATTTTCGATCTACTCCAAATTATAAAATCAATAATGTCAATAAAAATTGCACTGTAGTTTAGTATACTATTACTAAATATTTACATATAGTTTATTAATCCTCAGCTCCACATAATGTTTCTAAACAGCTATCCCCACCATGGGCAATTATTACTCATCACATCATCATCACTTAAAAACTAAAAAAATAAATGGTTTTCGCATGGGCAAATTTTACCTATGGTGCGGAGCTGAGGGTTAAAAAAGATCTAAAGCTTAATTTTTGTTTTAGTTTTCGAGAGGTACTACAATTACAGCGCAAGAAATTTAGAATAATTATTCCATAAATATGAAATCCACAAAACTGTGACTATCAAAGGATTCTTAATTTTTTTCATCGTAAAACTTTAAAATATGTACGTTTATTTTTATTTTTTATAATTAAATTCATTTTCTTAATTGCTTTTAAGCAGTAATGGGCAGGGAGAGCTCTTATTCTTTGCACGCTTACACACCAGCGAAGACCAGAGAGAGCTTTTACTAAAAGTTCAGCATTATAAGATCTAAAGCACTGATGGGCACTGTCTTGCCCGCGGGCAAAGCTCTTTAAGCTTTCTATACATTTTTTATAGGGGCGTGCAGAGTAAAAGCTTTCTCTGCTCATCGCTGATCTAAAGCACTGATGGGCACTGTCTTGCCCGCGGGCAAAGTTCTTTAAGCTTTCTATACATTTTTTATAGGGGCGTGCAGAGTAAAAGCTCTCTGCTCATCGCTGATCTAAAGAAAGCTTATCATTTCAGTCGTAACTAACATACACAATGTATAGCTTAGAAAAGCACTGTGTCCATTACTGCTTTTAACTGCTCTGCAGTGGGATTTCAGTAAAAGCTACTGCCGCACAAAATGTCGATGTCGAGCTTTTGCATAGCTTTGTGATTGGCGGTATGCTTTCACCACAACAACTACTTAAGTACACCAATTTCCAGTCCATATTCATTACATTCTCTTTCGCATTTTATTAATTCACAGCCTTCAGTGCGTTAAAATGTAAAAAATGTGGGGGAATAAGTGTTTACTTCAATTCTTCTAATTGTTTTCGGTGCCGGTGACAAGAGTGCACTTGTATAGTAAATTTGTGTGATGCTCGTGCGATTTTTTCTTCCCTAGTACATTAAATTACCTCGATTATTAATAGGTTCGGCATATTCCAATTCGGTGCCTAGACCCGTCGTATGATCAAGCGGCGAAGCATATTCACGGCGATCCGCAGGTGATGCGTAATCAGGCAGCAATGGTTGACCCAGCTCTTCGTAGAATGGTTCATTGGGCACATTGGTCGCGTCGTCATTGCGACCATTCATTGCGTTATTTACGCGTTCTCGCTCTCGTTCTATTTCGCGTTCGCGTTCACGCTCGCGCTCTCTTTCAATCCTCGCCGCCTCCATGCTGACAACAGTGTGTGATGTATCTATACAGCCCACCGCATACAGAGGTCCATCGTAATTCTCGCGTTGCACTTGCTCGAAGCTACCCGTGCTGTAGACTGCTTCCAGCGTACGTTGAAGCGATTGCGTTTGCGGTTGCAAGTGCTGTGCCAATACGCTGCAGAAGGCATTCAGGTCTTCCGAGCGTTCAATTTTACTCAATAAATTCTCGATTTTCGTAACAGTTCGTATGCATTGCTTCTCTGTACGATTGGTTTGCAGCAGCTCCTGGCATAAACGTTCTACGCGTGCGTGAATGTGTGGATATCGCTTCTGGATGAGTTGTAGGGCGCGTTCAATGATGTGTCGTTCGTTTTGTGTAAACTCATGGCGATGATGATTGGAGGACATCATTCCACCAGCGCTGCCATTTTTCTGACGACACAGGCAGCGCAACACCAGCACTAGTATAATGACAACGACGACAGCCAAAATTATGGCTGCACTGAGGTAGATATATATCAGCAGTTGCGAATCTTGGCGCTCGAGCTCTTCGAGTGTAAAGAATTTGCCGTCCACCTTCTTGAGGTTGCGATTAGCGCCACAATCAACAGTTGTCTTCGTCTCATCGCACACTTCATTCTCGTACTTTAGCATATTAAAGGTGGTAGCATTGAAGCAAGCACCCAATTTCGTATCGATTGTACAGTAGATTTCGGAGCGCAAATCGCGATCGGACAGATTGGCCAGCCAATCTCGATTGCAGCGACACGGTGAATTGACGGAGATCTCACGCATTATACAATGACGATTTGTTATATTCAAACCACCCGGCTTGAGTTTTGTGAGCGAGTTATTTTCGAAACGGCAAATGCCGGGTTTCTTTGTCTCCTCCAGTATAATGCCACCGAAGTCACCGAAAATATTTTTCTCAATTACAATATTAGACCACTCCTTGACGCGTAACCAATTCTGGCCGAGATGTTTGATGCGATTGTCGGTAATGGTTGCATTGATGGCGTTTACATGTATGGCGTTTTCGTGAATGGTATCGATTCTGTGGTAGATAGAGAGTTATCAGTTTTCATTCTTATTTGGAAAATAGCTGAGCTTGCGTGATACTTACTGGTTATTTCGAAAAATCAGCTCGTTTATGCCGCTGCCATGTATGGCCTCGCCTTCGATGTAGCCGATAACGCTTTCAGTGATGGACAAATGCATGCTAAACAACTACAAAGATGATTTATGAAAATTTGTTTGAGTTAAGTGGAATTTGCTTTTAGCCTAGAAATGGGCAGATAGAGCTTTTTTTATTTTTAACCTGTGCCCGTCTACACAAAATTTATAGAGTGCTTAAAAAAGCTTTACAGCGGGCAAGGCGCTGACCATCACCGATTTAGACTAGTGACGGAAGCTCTTGTTCTTAGCGCGTCTATATAAAAAATGCTAACACCCAAAGCCTAGGCCTCGAAAGAAACTCTTTAACGCTGCTGACAAAGTTTTTACTCTCCATCTTGCCTGCGGGCAAAGGTCTCTAAAGCCTTCTATACACTTTGTATAGACGCGTGCAGAGTAAAAGCTCCCCTTGCCCATTACTGATTTAAATACTACAGGTAGCTCTAAACGACGTCTCCCTTGGGATTTCGTTTGGTTGTAACTGTTATAGACGGACACGTATACAGTAAAAGCTCTATCTGATCGCCACCGGTATCAAATCTACATAAAACCTAAAACCTATCCCGTTAACTGTTGAATATTAAGATTTTTTTTTTTAGATCATTGCAAAATTGTCTTGTTTGATTCTTAATTTTCGATCTAGAGTCATCGTTAAATTGGAATTTTATCTTTGTGGTTTTTATTGTTTTTGATCAAAATAATCGTTATTTTGGATTTTTATTTACATCGATGATTTTTTTAACCGTTATAATGGAGACTGCATTTTTATGTCCGAATTTAATTCTTTAATGGTCTAAAAAATTCAATCTAAAAATAAGGGTTAGAATATGATCGAAAAAGTGAAAATCAAAAAATAACGATCGAAAAAATAGAAATCCAACAATTACGATTATTCTTTATCGTTTTTTTGTTTGTAATTTTTTGGCCTAATATGGCTTTATGAAGAATTATTCTGGAAGCTATGGTTGTTTTTTCCACAATAATTTTTCATAAAAAACGGCTTCAAGCTCACTTAATTTGTTTAATGTTATTCTTGAACGAAAAATTATCATTTTTAAAATAACGGTTAAATTTGATCGAAAAAATTTAAATTCAATTTTAGCGACTAAATTATAATTTTTATCACTTATAAAGATCATAACCGTTAGGGTCCCTTCCGCGGATTACATTTTGCTCGTCTCTGATTTAGTCAAACTTTGTCTACACTCACCTTTTCGGTAATAGCCCGCGATTTAATAACATCGATGCGACTATTTACGAAAGCAATAAAATTTATAGTATTGACATCGAAAGAGCCGCTATTGATGGTGCCAATGCTGCAATTGCTGAACTTAATCTCACGCAGGGATGCTTCAAAGCGGTAGATGTTGTCGATGTGCGAATTCTCGATGTGTAGCTGAAAGAAGAGGAAGTTTTTGAAACTAAGTATTTATTTCAATAATTTTAAATGATGTTTCGATTGCTAGCATGGACAAAGAAAGTTTACCTTTTTTGAACCAATGGAGTCTAATGCTCTCGAAAAATCGATTAAATTGGTTTTAGAAATGGGAACAATTTTTTGAAATATATACCAGTGAAAAATGTGTCTAGTTTTTATCGATGCAACTGCCCGAGTTAGGCCATAGTAAAAACACCAATCCCCCTATACAACCGAAAATAACTTACCGTTGCATTTGCTGAATTAAAAGCTTTCTCCTCTATACGCAAATCGGCTACACCCACAAATCGTCCGTTGATTTCGGCTCTCTTGAAAGCATTCGAGTATAAAATCAAGTCGTTGCTATTGCGCACAGTGAATTTTTTATTGCCTACAACAGAGCAAAAAATAAATGATAAATTTTTAAATGAATTTCAAATTAAAATTTGCATTCAGCACTCACCTAAAAATGCTCGCTCTCGCACCACCACCGAAAACACATCCTGCATCAAAATTTCTGGATAGGGTCCAATGATGCCATCACCACCTGGAAAAGCGCCTGTTGTGATTTCCACTTGTTCGCCATCTCGATGTGAACCAAAAATACTGAATCTATTCATGCGTGAATTATTCACGAATAAATCCCTTTCCAAGCGGAAATGTGTATTTGGCGCTAATATAATTGTAATTGATTTAGCCGTATGTGGTACGCGGTAATTCGTTCCGAAAATGTCACTCAACTGCGTTTATAAGAAAAAGAAAATAAAATGTGCATAGATCAATAATGTGGCGAAAGAAGTTTATAACTAGAATCTTTAGCTAAAGTGATAAACTGCTAATAAACTTGATAAAAAGATAAATTTATAATTTTGATAAATGAACTGTCAACACAATGGACGAGGTAAGAATGAAATGTAATTAGCCATATAAGCTAAATAATAAAAAATTTTATTCAATTATTTTCCAAGGTGCGTTTATGTAAGATCAAGTAGGGAATATATTTCATATATATATATGTCATTTTATTCTTACGACACTACTTTCAAAAAATATGGTAATCAATTTTTTGATTTTGTAGAAGACAGGAATAATCAAGGCGCACGCCACAAATCGGAGGAGAAGCTTGGCCAAACACTAGCATACATACACTAACCAGAATATGTTGCCGTACAGGGTTTTTGGTTTTTAATATTTGCAATGTTTTTCGAAATAAATTTTTTTCGTTAATTTTAATAGGAATATAATTCATTCTCAAAAATCAACGGTATTTCCTTGAACTGGCTAGAAACAGATGGTCAGACATACAGAGCTGCAAGATAAGAAGATAGCTTTAACCTTATTATAACAGGTAGAAGATGTCGCAACCCTATTAAAAATATTTTTGAATTAGGGATCTTTGAAATACCTTCCATTTGATACCCATAATATAATGTTTTAATTAAATTGTAACTAATTTCGAATAGGTGGCAACCCTATACGAGTCTTCGCGGAGTTAATGCCTATTCAGATAACCTTAAAATCCAAAAGATTATCTGTGTACAAAATTTCATCAAAAATCGTTAGAATCGTTTCCGAAAACCCTATGGATATATATACATATATATGTACAAGAATTGCTTGTTTAATGTAATAAGATAAATTTAAGTAAAAGTTCTGAAACTTTGAGAAAAATCAATTGCTTTGTTTTTCTTCATAAGGCCCATTGTATCAAAATTATCTACATACATAGTTATGCACGGCACGTAAATGAGCTCAGTTTACTGCCGGGTTAAAAAAAATATATACTAATTCGCCTTTGCTGATGAATCATACTTGATATGCGATATCAAAGCATTGAATTAGTAAGCAAAAATAAATATTTATACTCTACAAACTTCAGTAAATTATTTAATGCAAGTGCAAAACTGTGTCAAGTCCAAAGTTACTTCTTGAGTTTTCGGAAAATTATTGTTTATGTAGTATAATGTAAATTCTAGGAAGATTGCGGCAAACTATTTAACAAGTGCATCATTATTTTAGTATACTAGCATATGTTCACCTGCATGAATGGCCTTAGAACTCTTTTTGTGATTTTATTTTAGTTAAAATTTGTGTTCCAAAAAACGGTCTGAAGCACATGCTTGAAACATGAGTGCCCCTTGATTTTAAAGGCTTAGAGATAGTCCCTTCAGAGTAATTGTGGTACCTTCTTGTGGGGGTCGCTGACAAAAATTTAGGCAACCAAATAAATTATAAAGCTACACTATGCAAAATAGGTTCAAACATGATTTTCAACTTTAATTGTATGCTGCATTTACTAGATTGTCTTCAAGTAGTTTTTACAAAAGGTACAACCTGCGACCAAAGATAGCACATCAACATTATGAACAGTTTGATTTTTATTAATATTCATAAATTTTTTATAAAAGTATAGATAATTATCAAAAAAAAACCATATATAATACATACAACCGAATTTCTAATAATAATAATAATAATTCGAATTTTTAACTGTGTACAAAAATTAGAAAAAATTCAACAAACTTCTCATCACAAGTTCAATTTACGAATAAACGACACCAAAAAAACCTCGTGATAAATGTAATTTCGTAACGGTGCACCCATATAGCCGTATCAGCTGGTTTTAAGGGGCGTTTCGAATTCAGTTGCAATTTTTCCTAAACTAAATAGTGCATAAAATAAGACTCCAAATAAGCCCACTTAAGAGTCTTTTTAATTTTTCTAATAAGCCTTTAAATATTACTTAAGAATATTTGAGAAAGCATGAGGTTTTAAAAGTACCCCTCCAGACGAGCCACGCTGGCCTTAGTGACTGCCGTTTTGGTAAAAAATAAAATAAAATAAACTAGAAAGAATTAGCAGGAAAAAGGATGGTAAAATTCATTTCATTTTGTTGAGCGAAATATAAACATTCATATTATTAACGATTTAAATTATTGCTTTCAGGATCTTTGTTTAAAGACCCGTTTCTTGGCTGCCATCATACTTTTGAAGGAGTTCGTTCAATACGCTATTTTATGACAATATAATACATATAAAAGATGTATAAGGTAATTACTGTGATGATTATGTGGAGTCACAAAGGAACATTGAAGAGAAGATTTCCGCGATTCCTAATTTTGTTGGATCTTTAGCAGTAGTAAATGGTCCTTATTAACATCACCTAATCAATTAAGGGCTGCATAACATAGCGAATTGGTGGCTATATTCAGGTCTTAACACAATAAACAATGTTCAGGATGTTTTCCTTCTGAACTAATGCGAACAAGTTTTATCATCAATTATAATCAATTTCCTTACACTATTTGAAAATCCTTTAAATTCCTAATAGGAGGAGTTATAGTCAATAAAACCAAAAAGTATCTAGCACCAAAAGTAGTGCAAATGTGGTCGTTTTACACATCGCACACCACCTTCAATGTAGATGTTGTTTGTTTGTGCATTGCATAGGCTTTCTCGCTGCATTTACAAAAGCAACTTTCGGATGTAGTAGATGCACCAAACAGTTAAAGTTAAAATTATGTCGGATCTATTCTGATGTGTGGGCCTGTATGATATGCACGCACTTAAATTTATTAACAATATTTGACGCAATTCAATGAGTTAAGCATGTGGTAATAATATTTTACATCTAACTGTTTGTATATTGATTTACTAGTATGTTGATAAAATATGTACATATTTAATTCATTCATTGCCAATTACATATATCATTCAACTGCACGAACTGTATGTATATTTACTAAACAATAAAGTAAGCAAATTTATTTGAAGTTTTGCTTTTCCTAGTTTTTGCGTTAATAAATTTTTCATAAATTTTATAAAGGTAACCAAAACTATGTATGTAGGTACTATACATACCAAATCTCGTACAATAGCAATGAAAATAATTTAAATTTTCGTTTATAAATTTTTCCATCTCAATTATTATCTTGAGAATTTATGCCACTAAAAGCAATAAACTTGCTTAGTAATACCAATTTTTCAACTAATTAGTAAATATTTTTAGTTCATTAGTTTATTTACAGCAGGCGATAAGTAAAAAAAAAAATTAAAATAAAGTATGTGGATAAAGAAATTGTTTCAAAGCGATTCAAAACAGCAACTCATGTACTCAGTTCATCGTTTGCCACAATTTACTTCCTGCCCAATTTAAGATGCTTCATCGCTCGGATGACCTTATCTCTTCATAAAATTAGAGTTTACTCGCGTTCTAATAAATTTTTTAAAAACGGCTGATGAACCAACCACTTGGCATTCCATTGGCCATAGCCTTTTCTTTGGTTAATCTTAATTCATTGTTTTCTTTCTTAATTTCATTTGATTTAATTTGTTTTCTTTTTGTTGCTCTCGAGCATCTGCTTTTGTTTTGCTATTGGAATCTGTTTGTTGATTCACAGTCGTATGTATTTTGATTATGCATAGCTTTGTAAATATATTTTGTATAAACATATACATATATGTACAAGAGAGCGTCTCGCCTTACAGGCAAAAAAAAGTTCGCCGTACACCCCCACATATGAAGTGTTTTTGAAAAGCATAAAAAAAAATAATAATTTTTTTTTTGGACAACCCTAGTAATAAAATGTGTTTCATTAAGGGTTCTACTGAACTAATCGAAATACTTATTTCGCAAAAGAGTAATGACTTTTGACGGTCTTTAATTTACTGTTATTAAGGCGGTACGTTAGGGTGGTAAGTACCAAAATGGAGCACACGAGGTCAGTGAACTTCCGTAGGAAAAACCTCCTCGTCGAGACAAAAACATAGGTGTATCCAACTTTAAAATCCGACTATAACTGCCGAAGATATGAAGAAAAATGTAATGGCCGACTACTAGGGTTGTAAAAAAAATTTTTTTGTAAATGCTTTTCAAAAATACTTCCTACATATCTTTGCAAATAATTCAATATTTGTTGAAAAAACATCTAACTGTGGGCATGAAAAGGCATCTTCAAAAGAAACATACTGACTTTGAAGTGCTTTAAGCCAAATGCAAAGATGTCCGGGTTCAAATCTCATTAGGCGGAACATTTAATTTAAAAATTTTATTTACGGTTTTCCTTAATTGTGAAAAAGCATCTGTGAATTTACTGATACCTAGGACATCGCCATGTTAAAGTTATGAGTTCGTTCCAAGGAAAAAAGTCAGATTTTCAACTAATTGTGGTGGGTAAAAAATTGGTTGAACATCGATATTTAAACTAGTTTCTTTCCGTACTGGGCATAAAATGAAATTTTTATGAATCTATGTAGATATGTATATGTATTTTGGTCGCAGTGCATACCTCTACTTAATCTATCTAATCTATGGTAGATAGTCTTGTTGGCAGTGCAAGTCTTTGAACGAATGAATAATTTTAATTTTTCACGAATGTAATAAGTAGTAAAAAGAAACCTTATTAGATACATATATTTATATATACATAGTCCGTCAAATGCGAAACGAAAATGTTTGAAATTTAGCAAAAGAGTCACAAACCGAATGAATATTAGTCATCCGGTTTTAATTTTTATACTTTTTACGTATTTATACATACAGCCCGCGACAAAACGATAGGAACTCAACATTTTGCACAGTTTTGACTATTTATCTTTTGTTTGTTGCGCGATATTTCTTCCATACAAAGTATTTTTTTCATGAAATATTGAAATTTTGCACACCTCCGTCTTTTAGCCCCACTTAAAGATAGGATAGCTTTTATATAGGTTTAAACAAACGGAATTTTCCATGCTGCAT